TGATTGGTAGATTAAAAACTCAGTCAAAAAATTAATCACATATTGATAGCTTGTAGAATAAGTTAACTATGTAGTACATATATAAAAAACTTACCTTGTAAGTTAAGATATGTATCTTGTAAAATCAACACATTTTAGAGGTTGCATAGGACATTGCTACATAGCTCCTAGTTAAGAGTATATATGGAGGAAAGAATGAAACCTTCTTCATTCTTATCAATGCCTTTCTAGTTCTTAGTCTTGTTCCAAGAATTTTTAGTCTTCTTATTTTTGGTAATAGCCATTTTAGTTCAATATTATATCAACTTTGAATGACTTTTTAGCTCCTTTCAATGATACATGAGTGTATTAAGGATTTTATTTCCTCAAGATTCATATCCTTAATATATTATTAGGAGCTAAATCCACTTTTGAAATTTAGAAGGTTGATATTATAGGATATTTATGTAGATGGTTTAGTCATAAGACAGACCCTAGTAAAATAGATGTTATACAAAAAATGAAAGAAATTTGTAGTATACAAATAGAGGTGTAGAGATTTTTAGAAGCATGTATATTTTATTATGTTTGGACTCTTCATTATAAACATATAGTAGATTTTTTTTATAATTTGTTATAAAATAGAAAGAGATTTAAATGAGAAGAGAAGCACACAAAAATAATTGAAAAATTAAAATATTTATTATCTTTTCTACCTATGCTAAAAAGAATAAATTATGAAGGTAGCAAATCAATAATACTTATAATTGATATAAGTCTAATAGCTATTGGTTGGACTTCAGGACAAGATAATAAGGAAGAAAATAGATTTACTATAAAATTTGGAGCCAAAATATTAAATGAACAACATAGGAACCATCTACAAGTGAAACGGGAGTTGTAGAAGATACATACAACTATAAAGACTAAAAGAGATTATTTAATTGAAGTACTAGTGATAGTAGAAATATATTGTTTGTTTCTATTGGAAATGATCACCAATTGTAACATCTCTGATATTATCATGCTAAGATGGATTACATACATCAAATTCTTGAATTTTGAATTCAAGCATATAAAAAGCAAAAATAATCTAATAGTAGATATGCTAACCTAGACTAGGTATAAACAAGAAAAAAATTTGATTAATGGTATCAAAGTTATAGGTACTACCTTCTATTCTAGAGCACATCAAGGAGAGAATGAATATCCAAAATCATTTATGGAAGAGTTATCCAAAGAAGAATGGATAGATAGTGGGTACTACTTGAGTACATTATCAAAGAAACTATGATAGAATGATGTTCATTTTAAGTAGATTAGAAGGAAAGCCTATAACTACCTTTTACAAGATGGTTACTTATAATAACAGTACAAAAGAGATAGTGGTATACTACAAAGAGTGATTTGCAAGAAAAAAATATAGAAACAATTGATTTAAAAATTCCATGATAGTTTGTAGGCAGATCAAAAAGGTATTTATGCTACTTTTAATAAGCTCAAAGAAAGATATTGGTGGCATAATATGTATAGAGATATAATAAGATTTATAGAATCATATCAAATTTATCAAATATATTTGAAGATTTGACACAAAGTTGAGTTGCATCTTATATATCTTCTTGGAATACATTATAAGTAGATTATAAATCTAGTTACTATGCCTATGGAATTATGGCAAATATGATACTTGATTTTGGTATGAAAAGATTTATCTAATCAAGTGGAAGGAAGACCTCTACAAAAAAAATTCACTAAAAAAGTTTGTAGATTTCTATTAGAAGATAAGGTTTGTAGATATAGATGTATTGAAAAGATTATTATTGATCATGGAGAATTGGATGCACATGAGACAGGAAAATTTTTAAAAGATGTAGAATTAAGCTTATACTTATAATAGTATATTATGTTGAGAATATTGCCAAAAGTGAGTAAGGTCATCCTCCAGTAGTTAAAACTATTATTAAAGCATGCAAAGAAAGAACAAAAGAATGGCCAAGGTTATTACCATTTGCTTTATAGGTTGATTGTATTACTTATGGTTCAATAACTAGATATATGCCAACAGAATTGATATAAGTACAAAAGCCTATTATACCAATTAAAGTACAAATATCTACTTGGAGTATTTTACCATAACAAGACAACATGAGTAGAAAAGAACTTTTTACAATTTGAATTTGTCAACTAGAGAGGAGACCTGAGGATATAAAAAAAGTAATTGTAAAGTTGAAAGAAGCATATTTGAAAAATAAAGATAGATTTAAAAAGTAGCACTAGTTAAGGCCATAAGAAATTCATAAAGGTGATTGGATACTTGTTTATGATAGAATTTGGATAATCAACATAGTACCTTACAAAAAAAATCAAAACATTAGTTTGGATCTTATGTGGTTGTAAATATTTTAGATAATGCTACATATATATAAAAGGAGTTAGATGGAATATACTTTAATATTTTAATTGTAAGAAAATATATAAAATATTTTAAGCAATGGAATTAAGATATAACAATTAAAGGTACTAGAAAAGATATTGATTTCCTTACAAATGAAGAAGAGGAAATGAATCATAAAAAAGACAATATTGAGGAGATAGTATGACATTGACAACAACTTTGATTCTTCTTGGTGCATAGTAGAAGATGCACAAATTTGGAGGAAGTGGATGTCATATTGTGATTTGGCTACTATATAAAAATAATGCACATAAATATTAAATATATAATTTATTATACAATGTAGTAAGGATTATATTATTAGATTTTAGTTAATCATAAAATATAGTTAGATTACTACTTTGAAGTGGTTAGTTTAAAAGGACTATTATTGAAGTTTTTTTTATGTTGATAATAGTTTATATATTTAGAACCACCTTTATTAGACATTGGTAATTCTTAAAATCTTATTTTATATTTTTTATTTAGTATTTAGGACATATGTTATATAAATCTTATAAAAAAAAGATTGGAGAAGAATTTTGGTAGCAAAAAGAATAATTAGAACATCCATATGGATGAATGGAGATAGATGATGAAAATATCTATTGCTATTGACCAAAATTCATGCACAATGGACTTCAAGGAGGTTGCCTAAGGCCTTATTAGAAATTAGGATTATTCTTTTAAGTTCATTCAAACTTAAGAGGCTAAAATCAAAGAGTTTAGATTTTTAGCTATGGTTTTGGTGAAAATTTTGGATGATTTGGAGTTTTTATGAAAGAGATATAGGTGCTCAAAGTTAAGGTGTTGATTTTATATTTATATTCTTTCTTTTGGACATATTATGCATGTATAAAATGTAATGAAGAATTGACGACTGGGATTGGAGAGAATACTTTTTCAGCCATACTTTTTACATATTGCTTGATGAATTCTAAGCTAGGATGAAGGAATATATAGGAAGTTGAAGTCAACACTTGTAATCTAAGGGCAGTAAGAGACTTGATTTACTAGTGGTTATGTTTTGAGCTATATCTTAAGCAATTTGATAAGATTTTGGCTAAAAATTTCTAAAAATATAAGTTATCATATTAATAAACTTTATATAAAAATTTTGTGGCATTAAAGTCTTGAATTTTTTATATATAGAGAAAATTGTATTCAGGTACTTATAAATTAGGATTTAAAGGACTTGCTAGGATTTGTAAGATGCCAGACGATTTATAGTAGATTTATGGTTTATTTTTTTTGTAGTGAAGTTTAAGGATAAATTCTATATTATCTAAAAATTTAAGAAAATTTTAATAGTTATATCAAGAAATATGAATTTTTAAACTTCCAAGGAAAAAAAAAAAAAAAAAAAAAAAATCCTTTATAAAAGAAAATTATTTTGAAATTATTTTGCTACAATTTGGACATTTTATGAAAAATAATGGGTTTTTTGGAAGCCAAGACTTCATATATATATATATATATATATATATATTTAAGATGGAGATATAGAGCTATGGTAAAATTATAATATAAAGATGGATATTTGTAAGACGATTATGGATTTTCTTTGAGCTTATGGAAAATCAAACCTATAGGCAAATAGTTAGTTATGATTTGGTATAGTAAAGGATGTTAGGACATTTTTAAATACTTTAGAAAGCCTTATGTATAAAACTTCTTAAATATAAAAGAATTTTATCAATAAAATATCTTTTGATACTATTATATTTTTTTGGCTTCTATAAAAAGAATACATTACTTATTGGAACTTGTCCAATAGGTTAAAGCTAAATTCTCTATAATTAGGTACTTGGTGTATTCCCAAACAGAAAATCACACCATACAACAATGGGTATGAATTAAGCTCTATATAATAACATAATAATATATGGTATACAACAAAGACACAAATAAAACTATCTTTTATGGTCTTTAGGAATATTTGTTAGCATATAGTATTTAGAGAGTGCTTCCAACTAACTATAATTCTTCATATTGTCCAAAGGAAAAACTTGTCTTAACATCCCACAATTTATTTAGAAACAAAATATTCTTGGACATTCGATGGCTTCTAGATACCAAAGTGTTAGCAAACTATAATTTTTGAACCAAAGGACTATCATTTTGAACTTATTGGACACAAGTAAATAAATATTGGAATGTAGTAGATGTGAAGAATGCCAAAATTCCCACGACATGTGGTACTAAAATAACAAATTTGTGAATAGGCCTGTGCTAACTCTTGTAGATGCTAACATATCCCATCTCATTAGCCACAATGTAATATGCCATAAAACATCAACTCTATATATTTAATTGTACCTCTTCTAATTTCCATAAGGGGTTGGAGATTACGTAGCTTTCTCTTTTTCCTCGTAATAGAGTAAACATAAGTGCTCAAAAAAGAATAAATCATGAAGAAGAAAGAAGAAGAAGAAGAAAGGATTGTAAAGATTCTCTAAGAGGCATTTGTCGGCAAGATAACCTGGGGCACGACAGTTGGGATGAATGATAACATTCGTCATGAACGAGGAACAGAGACGGTGTGTAAGTTCTGTATTGATGCCTTCAACTTCACTGTTCTAGTTCGGATTCCTGTAATCGCGGCTCTGTTCCAGGATATTAACGGAATTCGCCTTAATGGTATTCTCTTGGACAGACTTATGAGCAGCGTTGCGAAGGGAAGCTGGCTATGGCGATTAGGGTTTGAGGTTGAGGAAGGGCTAGATATGATGCTGCGATAGCGGGCATAACATTTGTGACTGGTCTCCTTCAGGAGGAGTTCCTTTGAAAGGATTGGTGGTGTTGTGAAATTTAGAAGCGCCGAGGGACGTGGTGAGCGATGGCTGGACCAGCAGGGGCAGGGGGTGGAAGCGGGCAGAAGCGGGGACGACCTGCTACAGTGAACGCTGGAAATAACGCCAATGTCTCTGGGCATTTGGAAAATGCGAGTGGCGGAACGGCACATCAGCCCTCGCCTGGTCTTAACCTCGGTCCGTCCCTTCAAGTGGTCTACAATTTCGCCGACCAGCACACGAAGAGGATCGTGATGGCGCTGCAAAGCGGGTTGAAGGGGGAGCTTGCGTGGGCGATCAACGCGCTGACGCTGTTGAGTTTTAAGGAGAAGGATGACTCTCGCAAGGACGCGACTCCACTGGCCAAAGTGCCGGGGTTGCTGGATTCGCTGTTGCAGGTGATTAGCGAGTGGCGGGATATCGCGCACGAGCGGGTGTTTGCGAAGCTGTCGAGGCCGAGGCTATTGGGAGCCGATCAGCCATACACGGGATTTGGTCTTGAGTATGAGATATACAGCCCCGATGATGCAATGCTCCACATTAGGGCGGCAGCAGAGAAGAATGTGCAAGGGGGCGATGGGTGTGACGCAGTGGAGACGAAGGAGGGATGGTGCTGGGATGAGGAAGGCATTTTCAATCTCGACGAAATTGGTCGTCATGAGAAACAAATCTGTGCTGTGGCGGTTTCCAATGTTTTGCGCAACTTTTCGTTTATGCCTGAGAATGAAGCGTCCATGGCTCAGCACCGAGGATGCTTAGAAACTTTGATTACAGTGTTGGAAGCTCATGAAACTGAGGACGAGGAGCTGGTTACAAACTCGATAGAGACTCTTTTGAACTTAGCGACATTTTTATGTTTCAAGATTTTTACTAACAATGGGAATAACAAAGCGAGTAACACAGGAAGCTCGATGTCGGAAAAGAGAATGATTGATGCTATTATGATGATGCTGTCTTGTCCTGTAATTTCCTGGCACTGTTGTGCAGCAGAGCTTCTAGGACGGCTTGTTGTAAATCCTGACAATGAGCCCTTTCTTATGCCTTTTGTTTCCCAGATCTTTCCACGATTGGTGGAGCTCTTAAGTACTGAAGCATCCGGCGATGCACTCGCTGCTGCTGTGGCAGCACTGCACAATTTTTCGGAGATCAACACTGAATGTCGGCTGGGCCTTGCTAGCGAGCGCTGGGCCGTTGCAAGGTTGCTGAGAGTGGTAGGTTCAGGAAACCATTACCCGCAGGAAGTTTGTCGAAAGGCAGCTCTTACGCTTGAGAACTTGGCCTCGGAGCCTCAGAATAGAGCTGTAATGCTCTCCTACGAGAGTTCCATAGCTGAGTTGGCTGTTGTGGACCAGCGAATGTCGGATGTTTTCGCCCGCATTCTTTGGGAGCTCAGTTCAGGCATCAGCTCCAAGATGGGATCCCTTCGAGGTGTGTGGGGCTCATCGTGATTTGAATAATGTTTATACTTGCTGCGTTCAAACGCTGAGGATATTGTACAGAGACGCTCTTTGAAGGATCCCACAGCTTCCCGGAGGAGCACATGTTGATTGCATATTCGAAAAGTACATCGAGTTGTGTGAAAACCATTCGGTGCGGCAATTTAAATTCTTCATTACCATCAGCTTGTCCGCTACAAGGCATCACTGACTTCGGACGTTGTGGCATTAAAGTCTTACAAGAAGCCAGGTCTCGTTTGTCAAGTGAATCAAATTCTGAATCGGCTGGGACGGACTACTCCGTGTTACATTATTATCGTAGGTTCATACCTTAGACTGGTCTCAAGTTTGGAGACCTGTCAGTTGGGGGATATGTTGTCCAGCTGCTACACCATCGACGTGTGGATCATACTCAGTGTTCGACACATCTTTCTTGATGCTGAGAGTGTAGTTATTGCTGCATTGCGAAGATAGCAAACCAGAAATCCGAGCTCTTTCGGCCAATAGATTTTGAGGACACCAGCGAAATCTATTTTTATGATTTTCCACGGAGAGTTTCAGGAGAAGTTTCAGTGGACGATTTGTGTCATTTGCAATATTTTGGGATATTATGTCACGGATGAGGTTGAGCTGGCGACTCTGGCTCCGCAAGATGCATGCCTCTGATTGATTTGTACCTGATAAGTCAAGTTCTAATGCTTTAAAATTGTAGACCCATCCGACAAGTGAGATTTTGCAGCAGAATCGTTTCAGCATGCTCGACAGACAAATGTAATTCTGACCTATATCCGGAGTTTGTTATTCCTCTGCACCTGTTTAAGTCATGATAAAATGAAAGTTGTCTTTTGCCCAGATATTATGGCATGTTTTGTAATGCAGTATGTGTCGTCTATTAGACAGTAAAATAATTAAATGTACATACAGTGTGAAACACTTCCAAAATATTTTAGTAATATTTTAACCCTGTATATTTAGATAAATCAGAGTTGTTGAAAGCACATTCAATCACATTTGATGTCTATTTGAATAGTCTCTCTCTCTCTCTCTCTCTCTGGAAAACTCAGAGTCATTAGTACTAAGAGTCTTGGCTGCTCTCGAGCTCTCTCGATCCTTAAGCCTGCGCTCCCTCTCCCTACTCGAACTCCTATGCCTCTTCCTTTTATTCGAGTTTCTGAGATAATTATCAATTCTTCGATGGTCCCTGTCTGCAGTTGCACTCCTGCTACCGTCCCAATTTCTGTCTGGACTCCTATGCCTACTTCGTCCATCATCTCCATTTCGCCTTCCATCTCTTCTTTGTCGGTCACTGCGACTGCGATCATCTTTATCATTGCAAAAATAGCCTTTTGAATGTTGATCACCACCATCAGCGAGGTTGGTGTCTCTATGATGGTTACCTCTGCTGGGGCTCCTACGCTGTTTCTTTCTTTCATCCGAGATCACTCTGTACCCATCGGAACCAGCATTTTCGACTATACTTTGACTTCCCAACGAGTCTGGTTTTTTTCTAATGTTACTTGGTACATTACTGTCCATCTCAACAGACAGCTCAAGAGCACCATCCACCATTGAACCTTCTGGTGTGGACCTCTGTCCTGTTTTGGCAGATTGGATTGACAAAGCTACCTGAGCCACCCGATCAATTGCACCACCAGCTGAATCATGCAACCGCCTATCTTCATCAGAGCTTCCGGTGATGCGAGAATTGTGAGGAATTTGGTCAATAGACAACTTTGATTGCCCATTAGTTTTATCTCCTGCCCTGGTCAAGACAGCCCTGACGTTAGCAGGCCCACGTGCGCCACCGAGCTTGAAACGCAGATTCCTGCGAGTCGAACACTTCGTGAATCAGATAGAATATATGTATGAGAACAGATCAGCGGTACACACAGTACACGTAAGAGGACGATGATAATTCTAGCAATTAAAAAGGTCTGTCTTAGGGCGGTATACGGTATTGGCACAGGACATCAAGTTAAGGGCCTTAACAGCATGATGAAACCCAACGTCGGGAGGCTAAAGGCCACCTACTTACTCTTCCCGTAGCTCTTTCATTTGTTTGTCTTTCCTGGCCAACTCCATTTGTGCTGTCTGCGTTTTCCTCCAGTCAAGCCTTACCATGTTCAGACGAGCAAATGATGGCAGCAAGGAAATAAAAGAAATGACTGATGCATGAGTACAATTATATTATTCTGTATTATGGAATACAAAGATACAAGACCCTGGGTTAAACGTCCAGAGAAATGAAGTGCTAATTGTTGAGCAGAATATCATAATACCAGAGCAGGTAGACAACCTTGAACAAACATGAAATGTTGCGAATCAGAACAGCCTTGTCCTGCTGCAACGCCTCAACCTGCAGATCTAGCTAGGAAAATGTTAAACAAGGTTGATGAGAGAGTTGAAGAACACTCCTTATTCTTCAAATCTATTAGAATTTCAACGAAGACTAAAGCCACATTTTTCCTAGCTTTCATTAGTTTGCTATATTACTCCCGCATAATCAGGTCTGAGCATCTTAGGCACAATGTACAATCGCTGCATTTTGGCATCAAGCTGGTAGCAAAAGTTTGGTAGAGGGAGTTATTCCTTGGAATAGTATTGCTGGAGAAATAAGTGACACATCAGTTAATTACCTCATTTTTCAACGACTCCACCTTGCTGGTAAGCTCTATTTCTTTCTTTCTGAACACCTCTTCACGAGTATCATACTGCAGCTGAGTATTGCATAATCAATCAACTATTGCATCTCAAGCATTTGTAAGAGAACTGTCAAGAGGAACTATGTTATTACCAAATCTCAATTTATTACAAAAGAGAAATTCTACTCTTCCCCAATCATGTTTCCAAACTTCAAAAGCTGAGGATATCAATACATTCCACAAATTTTGACGCTCTGATTCACAAAGGAGCACCAACACCATCATGAAGAACTATCTGAACGACTTCTAAATCCATATATATATATATATATATATATATATATATATATATATATATATATATGAGAATCTTACCGCTTGGAGGGGTTGGAAGGGTGCCTTAAGTGATGGCATGACGCCGACACCCTCGTCGAGATCGCCATACAGATCGTCCCCCTCGTCTACCATCAATATCATACAGTAATAAAATTCCTTCAATACAACTTCAGACTGACCTCCTGACTTAAGTTGTCTTAAAATAATTTCCAATAAAACGCGTGAAAATGATCAACCTAGAGACTTCAACGATTGAACAATAAAAATGAATTAAAATAATAAAAAAAATGCTGAATTGGCACATACCCATACTGAAGGATGACGATCGTTAGGTTGCAATCACACAGTCCTCAAAACCACGTTCACGATTTCGGCATGCTGACTGCGTAACATTATGCACACTGGAACTCCAACGCAGGCAGAGACATCATGTTAACTCAGTAGACTTTCAAAAACCCTAACCTCATTAAAGAAGCGCTTCCCCGATCTCGAGACAAGCAACCCTAAATATGTACACACAGATAAACGAATCTCTTCATGGACACTTCCGCACTCTTCACCTGATGCAATGCGGTGCAGTCTAAAACCCAATCATCCAGGAATTCCAATTACAGTACTCCATTCCAGGGTTCAAGCATCGAAATATCACTATGAAAAAAAAAAAAAAAAACAAACAAACAAACAAACAAACAAACAAACAAAAATGCTCCCTCTTCAATGCACATCCGATGAATTCGAACCAAAAAGAGAGCACAAAATTACCCGCACCTTATGAAAAATTCCAAATTAAGCTAGCGAGGCCTTCGCATTGGAGCGAAACTAATCGCTTCTTAGTCTCAGGAAAAACCCGAGTTCCTCATACGGCCTCCACAGACAAAAACGGAACCAAAAAACACAAATAATTTCCCAACAGTAAGAAAACACCACTACGAAGAGATGCAGGATGAGCACATTACAAAAGAGGAGGAGGAGGAGGAGGTGCACAAATGTGCGGGAAGGCCGAGGCCGAGAAGGGGGTCTCTCATTCCACCAGCCCCGTCGCCTGGGCCCCCACCCTCGTAGAATCGTGTCGCGAAAACCTCCTTTGTTCAATCGACCGGCTCCGCCATCGTAGGCCGTCGGATCGCACTGCCGCTCAGATGCAATCTCAACCGCCGATCGAACTAATTGGAACGGAGGGAGGGAACGTAGGGGAACCAGGGGGCGGGCAGGTTGGAGGGCGGTAAGTTGGGAACTCAGAACCCATTCTTCATTGGGCCAGCACTCATCCACATTGACATGGGTGCTGAATTTTGTATAATATAAAAATTAAACAATTGATATTTTAAAATATTTATTTTTTATTTTATTATTTTTATTTTTATTTTTAAAAAATATGATTTTTAATTAGTAATTTTTGTAAATTTTCTTAATGAACACAGTATTTTTACAAATGTATAAAGATGCTTCTAGCATTATTATAGTTCTATAAATAAAAAATCCTTATTATTTTATTTAAATAATAATTAAATTATTATTTAAAAATATAAAATAATATTTTAAATTTTAAAAATAAAAATACTTAAAAAGACTAATTTTTAAATATATATATATATATATATATCTCAAAACTAAAGTGTTTTTTGCATTACTATAGTTTTAAGACTATTATTTTAAAGTAGTACTATTTTTTTTGTCATACAACTAAAACCCATTTAATTTAATTTTATATTTTATTTAAATAACGTCTATCATACATTTTTAAAAAGTATCAAATTAATTATGATTAAATATTTAAATTTAGTTTTATGAAATACATATATTTTATAACATATTTAATAAAATTTTCAAATACTACTTAAAAAACTTATGAGTTGCAAGAATTCTTCCTGGATACAAAGGTATCATGTACACTGGGTGCTGTTAAGTATTACAACAAAAAAGAACTGTTTGAAGCAAGAGTGATGGTTAAAAAGTGGGATTGAGAGGCAGCCCCATGTATGTGAATGTGGATCAGTGCAGGCCCAATGAGGAATGGTTTGTGAGCTCCCAACCTACCCGCCCTCCAACCTGCCCACCACCCTGGTTCCTTACGTTCCCTCCCTCCGTTCCCAGGAATCCGATCGACGGTTGAGATTTCATTTGAGCCGCAGCTGTGATCCGACAGCCCACGATGGCGACGACAGTCGTTTGAATAAGGAGGTTTTTGCGACACTTAGTGGCGAGTTCTATACTCTACAATTTTTTTTCGAATGTATGTTGCATGTCCATAGTTTTGTTCAAAAAAATTTATATTATAATGATCAATAAGGTTTGAATTGTATTATGTGATTGATGCAAATATATAAAAGATATAAAAAGTTTTTGAACTCAACTCATTAATATTGATTGTTCATATATATCTACACTGATTAAATTTTTATTTAAGATCAAGATCTTATTTTGAAGACAATAAAGATGATAATAACTGATTTAACATTATATATATATATATATATATATATATATCTTTTAATTAAAATTAGAATAATAAATTAATATAATCAATTAAGTGTTTCTGAAATGCTATTGTATTATCTTCAAAAATATCACAAAAAAATTAAGTTTACTTTGAAGACTAAACCTAAATGTAAAATCAAAAGTAATTTTTTATTGAAAAACTATGCTTATAATTTTAAAAATCGCATATTATAATTGTTGCAATTAAACCTTTGTGTGATTTTATAAAGCTTTAAAGATGTAAACTTGTTCATTTTATATTAATTTTATATTTCACGTAATAAAATTTTATATTGTTGAAGTTTAATTTAAAATCATTTATTTATTTATTTTTAATCATCAAAACAATTTCAAATTTCAATTTTTCATAAAGAAGTTACATCATAGATAGATAGATAGATAGATAGATAGAGAGAGAGAGAGAGAGAGAATTGTTAACACTACATCTCTAATTGATATTGCTACATTTCACATGACTTCTTTGTAGACAACAAACTAATAATATGCCTCTTTTTTCGTGTATTTTTTCCTTTCTTTGATTTAAGAAAGGTTAGTAGTTGAGTGGGAGACAAAAAATATTTATATAAAAAAAAATGTTGTGATTTTTTTTAAATAAATCTAATATTAGCATCAAAAATTATATAATTTAAAATTTTGTTTGTTTGTTTGTTTTTTTTCCCTTTTTTTTTTTTTTTTCTTTTTCCTTTTTAAAAGCTAAAAACACAAAAAAAATATTTTTATTTTATTCAATTTTTGAGTCAATACTAGAATTAAATATTGAGTTGCCAAACACACCTTAAACAATTCAAGTTGTATGAAGGTCACATGGGATGTAGCAATATCAATTGGAGATGTGGCATTAGTACTTATTGTTCTCTCTCTCTCTCTCTCTCTCTCTCTCTATATATATATATATATATACATCATTTTACATCAAGAGATTACTTTAAAGATTTTAATAAGTTTTTATTTAAAATTTAAAATTTTAAACCATGAGAAGTATAAAAATTATAAAATTATAAAAATAATTTGTTTGATCTTAAAACGCATAAATTGAACATGTTTAAAATTAATATGAATAAAAAAAATTATATATATAATCATTAGCTACTGATTTTATTTTGCTTGTATTAGCCATCAAATAAGTTGTATAGAAACCTTTTTAAACAGATCATATATTTGCAAAATCAATATTGTTATATGATGTTTCTAAATAGATGTTTAAGCACAATCGTTTTTATTTTGTTTTTTTTGTTAATTTCTAAAGTCACATGGACTTTTATATAATAGTGCCTTTTAAGACCAACTCAATTACAAGTGTTGTTTAAATTTTCTTTTAAAAACCTTATTTTTAGTTTTTAATATGAAACTTTTGTATAATACAAACATATACCTAAGTTCAATTTAACCAATTAGATGCAGAACATATAATTCGATTTGATTTTAAACTCTTAAATTATAGACTTTAGCAAAACAACTACCATATATATATATATCCACATATTTACAAGCAAACAAACTTTATGCTCACTTAAAAACATAATCTCTCTTTGATATAGAACATATGTTGTAGTGAATCTAATCCATCTTAATTTCATAATCTTGAGTGTGAGTGGACATGAGCATTTTGATTCTTGCCCAACATTGAATACTATATTGTCCCAAGTTTATCTTGACACTTTCTTTTCAATTATCAATTTTTGATCTAAATATCATATAAAATGTGGAGGATTCCAAGTGATTTGAGCTTGCTAGAGGTGAATTTAGTACATACACACTTTTTGAGACTAGATTGTATGTTAGCAAATGAAGATTGTAACAAGTTGGTGCACAACTCCAAAGTTGTTGCTTTTCAACATAATCAATTATGTACAAGGTAGCTGACCCATTCTCAACCACACTACCACCACACACCCCCTCCCCCCCCTCCTCCTTCCATTTCTTATCGGGTGGTATATTTCTGATCAATTTTATTGTTAATAATGATCAATTCTAACACCTTATGGTTTCACATTACTTAATTTACATTTTGCCTCAACTCTATGGCACCATTGAGTTAGAAATTAAGAATTATATGCCAACTCAAAAAAATTGGTTGTAATTAGGCATTCTCAATTTTGCAACCAACCACTAGTTGGAATAATGTTGACCTTTATGTTGGATTTGACCTAAAACAGTAATATAACTTGGGTTTTTGGGCAAAATTGTGTAAAAACACTTGGCATCTTCCTGATTTCTATTTCTCTACATGGGGATGTTATTTATTTTTTCAGACTTTTATGGCAGATATGCTAAAATACTTAAGTTATTGAAAATAGGTTGGCTACCTTATACTACTACTGTTGACATTGGGTCAGCAGGGTGCAGTGAGCTTCATGGAGCTGCTCAACTGAGCCCAATTGATTCCAGCAGAGCACATGCTCAATCCCATCACCAACAAAGCCATGGATGGTCCTTGGAGTTGCAGTAGCAGCACATTGGGATTCCTGAACCATGTAGAGTTTGCTGTTGAGGTTGTTGTTTTGATGTAAATGGGGATGTGTTTCTGTGAAGCAAGTGGGTCCATCTCAATAAGTCTCATTCCTCTGAATGCTGACTTATTGGGACTAGTGAAGATCATTCAGAGATGTATCTTCTGCTGTTGCTTGGATTCCTGGACTGCTATGCTTCTCTGCAGCACTGGACAATGATGCATTGCCACATTCTTATTTATCTTTGTTCATGACATCAACATTGTGCCTGTCTGTGTCTGTGTTTCATCTTTTAATGCTTCCCCTTTTTTGGATGATATTTTTTGTTTTGATCAAACTGAAATTGATTTTTTTTAAAATTAGTTTAAATTTAAAAAAAGAAAAAGAAAAAGAAAGTCTTGCTCTGTGTAACATAGATAAAATATGCTTCTGATTATATTAAGTTCAATTCTTTCAAATGGCATCTTAATGCATAGATGCATGTTCAAATTTTAAAGTATCTTAAGAAGAAAAATATATATATATATATATATATATATATTTGCTTATTTTTAGTGATGAAAAAGAAAAAGAAAAAGAAAAGAAAAGCCATGGAATAATAGATTTTAAGAGCTTCATAAAAATATCTTTCTTCAAAAATGTATGTAACAACACTTTTTATTTCTTTTTTTTATGATCATTGTTTTATTTCAAAAGAAATTACATTTATAAATTAGAAATTTATATAAATTAACAAGTTATAAATTTATATAAAATAACTTGTTTATAAAAAACAATTTATATAGGTAAATTGTTATATTATATTCTATTTATTGTATATTCTACAATAAATAGTAATTTTAATTATATGAAATTATAATTGGACATGAAAGCTAGCACCAAATTAATGTGATTAAATAAATGCAAAAATTTCATCAACAATCTACATTCAATTCCAGTACTAACTATTAAAAAAACCTAAATATTCTACTCAGAGACACATAAGAAATGAGTTTACTTTCAATTTCTTATCTAACAAGTATTGTTTGATCTTGAATTCTAAATTTAATTTTAAAATATTAAATGTGCTTGTAACAAAAAAATTGATGTCTAAAAAGATATTTTCAAGAGCTATTATTTACACAACATTTATAAAGAGGCTGTTCCAACCTTGTCAACTTAATATTTGAATTTACAAATCTAAAATTTAAAAATTTTTAAATAACAAGTAAATTAATGGTTATTTTGAATTATAATCTTAAACCCAAATTTAATTGGTACAAGGCGAAAATTAGAGCAATGCGCTACACATTATCACTAGCAACGGAACGAAAATGTATAAACCATAGCACACAACACAGGCTCTTCAGAAAAACAGCTGCACAACTGCTCTTTCATAATTGATTCGTCCCAAGGAAATATTAGACACTTCAGTTGAAAGGCAGATGAAGGTCTTTAAGGAAATATATACCTTAAATATCTTAGTTTGATACAGAATAACACCAAAAGCACACCAATGGGACAAATCCATGGTGAGCCGATCATCACACAGCACACGTCCTCTATCACCACCAGTGGCTGATTAGGTTCACAGAGTTACATTGAACTATTTATATCTTGGATGCAAAGCCTAGGCCACCAGACACTAACTCATCAGTTGAATTCACAGTAGGCTGCTCTCGTGCAACTTTGGCAATCAACTTGTTCTCATCAGGTGATCCGCCCTCCAAAAATGCCCCCATCACCTTGTTGTCCTTGACCCAGTAAGCACCAAACTTGGACTCAGAGGCTGCAGCCCCGTTACGGCCCCAAAGCACAGTCTCGCCCACATTGTCGCCGTAGAACTGCCACGACAGATTGAAGGAGCGGGAGTAGAAGAATGGGAGGTAATCGTACTCGTCCACGACTTCGCCCTTCTCAGCGGCTTTGATCGCCTGCCCAAATTGTTGATTCACAAGCTATCAGATAAAAAATTATCCTCATAGAGAAGTCACAAACCACTGAACCTCTTCATTCAAAAGATCGTCGAAGTACAAGCAAACGGGATAACATACCTGAACAGCCTGCATGGCAGATTTCCTTGCATGGTCCACATGCTCCACTCGCCGGCTATCACCATACATCTTCATTGGGAATGTTGCAATGTCACCTACGGCGTACACATTGGGGTTGCTTGTTTTGAATGAAGCATCAACCTGCCAACAAGCAATTGAATATAAGCGAATATACCATGTAGATCATTAAATATTTAGATATATTGCTAAGTCTCATACACTGGACTGTACACTTATGGCTAAGCTTTGACAAAAAATAAGAACTAGTTCCCTCAGTCCTTTCTATGACAGCAACGCTGTTAAGGCCCTCATTTTCTTGAAATACCACCTGCTTAAAAGTCAGGATTTCAAGTTAACGAACACACGAGGAGGTGAGTTTGCAGGTATATATCGTCCGGGTTCATGGACCTCATAGTTTATGGAGGAGAATGAAACGAACCTTGAAACCACCCTTCTCTTCTTCTATCAAACCCTTCAGAGGAGCCAGAAGTGGCCTTGCGCCAACTCCCACCACCACAAAAGTGCTGTTCACAGAGCTTCCGTTTTTCAATAAGACTTTAGATACCTGCACCAGACCCCCTAGGATGTGCAACTCAGAAAGTGCGAAGTGATTCGTATTAATTATAGAAACTTCTCGCAAATGTTGGCCACGTCTCCCAGCAGAGTTTATGATGTGCAAATATAGAACAGTAAAGCTTCTAGGGTCAAGATTTTACGTGGCCATTGTCATCTTTCTCAAATGCAGTTACAGTTGTTCCCTTGATGATGTTTACGCCTTTACCCTCATAGTATCTCTCGTAAAATGAGGCAAGTTCGGGTGTAAACAAACGAGGCACTGTCAACAAGAAACAACCCCCTCATACTTTTATAGGGCTTGCATATGAAACTTGTTGTGATTCTGAAGATCATTCTCCACACAATTCAGTTTGTAGAATCACTATTCTGTTCAGAACAGGTACTTGAAGCTTATGTCAAAAAACATATTGACTCAATTTGGTAAGAGTCTTACTCAAGCATGGTTCTGGGAACACCATGTTGACTTTAATCTTGTTCATCGTCAGACATGCAGCTAATTCCAGCCCAATGTAACCTCCACCTACAACCACTGCTTCATCTCCCTTGCTAGCTTTGATGGCTTCAACAATTTTATCAGCATCACCAATATCTCTTAGGTAATAAATACCTTTGGCGTCAGCTCCAGGAGTTTTGAAGTCGGCAAGGTTAAGGAACTGTACCCAACCATATCTCTCAGTAAGTCAATTGTTTCTTCTTCGAACTCTTTGGACCACTACAGCATTTTGTGGAACAACATTTCAAAAATTACAAGTAATACCAAAGCTTTAGCACAAAATTAACTAAAGCTACAAAACTTGCGAAAATGAATATGGAAAAATACCCACCGTGGAGCCTGTTGCAAGAATCAGAGTCCCATACTCGTAAATATCGCCCTTATTAGTTGTCAAGGTCTTATTCTCCACGTCCGCTTTCACGATCTCAGTCTCCAATTTAAGTTCAATACCTGAAAGTCAGAATACACATTGTTGATGCTATAACTGCATGTATCCTTCACGTCTTCCTGTCTCCTGGAGAACACCGAAGATACACTGAACAGGCACAGGTACGATTTGGAGCACTTACCTTTTTCAGCATACCAATCCGGTAATTGCTTCTCTCCTCCACTCCCCACGCACACATGAAAGCCTGGAAGCCTAGCAGGAGCTGTCACATAAAATAGCCATAGACTTGTTAAAAGATTCAGATCCTTCCACTGTTTGAAGAAAACCTGTAAGGAAGAATGATACACAGAATCCTTACCATCAGGGAACAAGTAAGCTTTGCTCAGAGCAGGCCGCTCATAAGGTGCCGCCTGTCATACAGAGTTTACTCAAGTCAGCTGCTGGACAAGCTGTAGCATATATGAGCATGGGCACTCTACGTTGCACAGCATGTCGCCTTCCCATTTAAAAATGCAACATCTCAACGACAAAAATCAGGAAGCCTCCTCTGAAATATAGATGACGTATACAATCCAGCGAAAACAATAACTGAAGCAACCATCCTTATGTAGGGCTACTCCGCTTGGGTATCCGGGCGTTCAATTGTACCAATGCAACATGCATGTACAGATAAGCCTCTACAATCACCCCAGACACAACTTCAAAAAATTAGCACGCGTAGAACAGCAATATACCGCTTCTTTGGAGAAAATGGTCAGTTCCCCAGGTTGTAATCCCAGTTTTACAAACTCTCGTGCAGCGTAGCCCTGCACAGATCACAAAACCATCTGACTTTGAGCTGCAAAGCTTTTGGTTTAAACGTCCTTCTTTCTGTGAACTCTTAAAGCAATTGCTGAACAAACAGATACTCCTCAACGATGTATCTCTCCTTCATTCAATCAGTGCTTCCTCCATTCAAGAGCTCAGTGTCAACCACGATGTGATCCTCAAACACTAACACTACTAACATCTTTCTAAAACCGCTCTGCCAAGTTTACAAAAAGCTTTCCAAGGCTTACTCCAGCTACACCTCCTCCCACCACAATGTACTTGCGCAATATAGCAGCCATGACAACACTTTCTGGAACGCTGCACAAAAAACCATGACAGTAAGCTCAAAACATGCGATAGAGAGTGAACAAAAGTAAACTAACAGCCGCACGTAGAACTATTTCATATCAATTGGGAAAAACCACATTCCCAAAATGCATGAACGATTGAATATAATCTCAGATGGCGCTACATCTTGGGAAAACGATACGCGATATGATTGCTAAGTACTAACTGCTGTTACTAAAACATGCAAGAATCAGGCGTAAACATTTATAAGCAAATGACCCGCTGCTCAATGATCCTCAAGTTAACCTATTTAAAGTGCAGAAAAGCACCATACACTATACACTAAAAACCCTAACATTCTCCCATACACCATTCTATGACACAGTGGTATCATTTACAGGTCCATCTAATCCAGTACATATTAGAAAAGATGGACTAGTCATTTTAGCTTGAATCACATCATAATTTAATGCATTCTCTAAGAAAGTACAATCATTAGGATCGCTCTCTTCACAAATATGCAAACTTTTCAAACCAAATAGAAATTAGCATCGAGGCTTATCTAACTTACATCGACTGAAAAAAATTCGAAGAATAATATTTGTAGGCATGCAATGATGCTCACCCCAAAATTAGATGTCCAGTAGAAGCTACAGCAGTCAAGAACAAGGTGACGCCTCAAAATTTCCAACATAACCTTCAAATTCAACACTATTATTCTTTCTTAAGAACAGACCATACCCCCAAAACTCCACACAGCCCAAACGCAAGTGCAAAGCTAGCTTTAAGAATGAATACCCCTTCCAACACCTAGACCCATACACCAATTACCCTCGCTCCTACCAACCATAATTGCCATTTCAAAACCAATTACTCCAAACTCAAAAACGGCAAATTCAGAACCCCAGTGTTCAAATATTAGCTCCCACAACACCATGCCACGGCCACAACCCGACTCGTTATATTCATCAAAACCAACAAGAACGCCGCATTCAGAGAATGTAACAAAGAGAAATAAAACCTACTGATCTTTGCACCTATTCTTCAATACTCCACCAAATTGCACATGAAGAGGCTCAATCGGAAACCATCACGTAAGGCTCGCGGACTCACCGTGTAAGAGCTCGATCGCGCAACTAAATCAGGCGGACACGTAAAAATTGCAGCAGAGCAATTGACTCACAGACTGCAGTAACGTTAAGGCTCGAAAGTCTGATGAACGGGAAACGTGGTTGACTGAGATCGATCAACTTGGGCACGCGGGAACTAGAACTTGATCTCGCTGGGAACTGAAAAAGGACACGAAAGTCACCACGTGGCTTCCTACTATTGCACAATTCTTTATAAATACCTCAAAAACAAAACGACGACCTATATTATGGGTTTTCTTTTTTCTTTTTCTTTTTCTTTTTTGTACCGAAACCAATTCTGGGTGTTCTAATCTCAAACCCTGCCCACGGTATGGCACACTGAATCACATAGAGATGCTACCTTGAACTGATTTTAATTCATGTGGATAATATGTGGGTTGAGTGGCAGAGGTTGCTGCTAGGAGTCAGAATTTGATAGTTGGAAAGAGTGACCTTTTTCTGAAGATATCTTCTTTGTGACGTGCACAACTTATCTAAGGTGCTTTACAGAAATACTTCGTCCTTTATTCCCCTGTATGTGTTTGAAGATTTTGAGCCAAGGACTAGACTAGTGTGTGTGAAGTCGCGTCGTTTCACGCAAGTCGGCATGCTCATGGTGTAAAGAGTATCTGGGTTGTTGATCAGATGGAGTTCAGGGAATTGGTGAACGGACTATGTTTCTTGCAACGACTGCAGATTATAGAAGTTCAACGATTTAAGCAATACATGTGCTGCGAGTGGTTAAAAGAGGGTTACACATGTAATGCCAACTAAAGCATGCTTTTACAACAAGAATGTGGCGAGGCTTTTCATAGATTCTTAGATTCTGTTTTCTCCAATTTCAGGCCCGTACTAATCCTTGGCAGCAATGAGGGTCTTCTCGAAAAATAATTAGGTCGTGGAACGAGTCAACGCACCTTTGCAGCTTTCTTTACTCACCCCTCAGTTTACCTACGAGCAGCTACGATTTGACGTTTGATAGAGAAACTAAAGGCTTCCGCACTGTACGGTCTTAAGAAACTATTTACTACATCACAGATTGGAAGGGAAATTACCTTGAAGGGCCTTCAACTCCAAGAAATGGATCTTTCGCCGAACGAGCATATCCACTAGAGTGGGTGAATAATGATCCATATTCTGTATAAAAGAAGCTGGCTCTTTGAGGAACTACACAAAGCTGGATGCTGGCATATCTTTCGTCGAAATTTCATCTACAGTTCTCCCAGCGTAATTCTTGCTTGCGCATCAAAATTCCCAAGCTTCCTCAAGATGCTATGTAAGCTTGGGACCACATAGGTCACAACCCATAGACATAAATCACAAACAGGCATTATACAATTTTCTGGAATTGATCACACAAGGCATCCTGAAATTCTAGACATCCTTCTCGACCTTCGGCCTTTTCATTGCAGGTTCATGCTCCGCAGCGACGGGTGCTGGTCGTGTCCTTCCTTGAGACTGATCCGAAGATTCAGGTGTTGTAGCAACCTAATATCCGTACCAAAAGCCTAGCATTAGGCTACAATTCTTCTGTACGCAAATATTTAACAGAGTATCTACTGAAGCACAATTGTACATGGGTTTCCAAATCATTGCATCAACGTTTCACAGCATGTCAAACATAGCACACGTCCAACTACAAGTAACAAGTACGACATTACGGTTGTAAAGTGCGTTCCACAAAAATTATTGAGACTATTTACCTTGGCAGAAGTGTCAGCAGCCGCCGCTCTAGCATTAACTCCCAGATCAATTTGAACAGATATGTTAGCTTGACTTAGATCAATTCCTGAGCTCTGCAATGCTCGCGTCAATGTGTCCAACAACCTGGCAGATACAAAACGTAAGTTTCAGCACAAATAAGTTAACTTTCTTCGTCCGATCACTGAAAGACTAAACTGCCAAACCAGCGTTGAAATGTACTTAACAAAAACTCTCACGTAAACCCAACCAGATAGTGTAAAAGAAAGTTCATCAGCAGCTTCAACAATATTGCAAGTTGCAATTAGGTCGCGTAAAATGAGCAGACTATTGTTCTGAAGATTTGTTTTATGCTACTTTCAAAAAAGACAAACGACAGAGCTAAGATAATAGATTTCAGCAAGTGTTGTGGAGATCGCTCACCCTTGGGAATACACAGAAGACACGTTGATGACCCCTCCTTGGATACGTGGAGGTTGAACAGGACCAGGAGAAGCAGCAGATCCATCTTCAGGTGTGGTCTGATCACTTCGGTGCTCTGGTGAATGCCTTGAAGGTTTGACCGCTTTGTCTTTACACTGAGCCGACTCCTGTGGTTGTCTAGAAGCACTAGCATTAGATGGTTGCCCTGCTTGGGCTCCATCTATCATACCAACAACTGTCCCAGCTGCGATCTGATGTTCTGCTTTTGATTGCTGGCCAGAGATTTGGTCAGCTTGGCTAGGAGGTGAGATGCGAGGTCTGACTTCGAACTGGTGATCGGGAGTGGTTGCATGAGCGCACTCATTCTCACGCGAACTGACAGGATCCAAGTCACTCATCTTTTCCTTAGCAGGAGAATTTGAGCCTAGTATACTTCGACCACCATCCAGATCACTCTGAAGTCTTGAGGGGATGATGGGTAAGGCATATGGTAAAGGAAGGGCCTGCTGAAGAGGCACACCCACTGCGAACGGCTGTGCAGTGAGTGCAGTGGCATGCTCTTTCTCACCGTCAAATGATGAAATACAGCTGTGTATGCTACAAGCTGGTTGATTAGAAATCTGGTGAATACCAGGGCCACTAGTAGAATAAACTTCACATGTAGGCGCAGCTTGTTCAGATGGATGTTTTGCACGAACACCACCATCGGCTTCTGTCACTGGATTAATGTCCAACGGACCAACACCCGAGCTGAAGCTCTTACCGAAAACAAGCGCATTAATATGTGATGCTTCATCTGCTGATCCTGCCGCCCCTCGCTGTTAAATTGAAAAGGAGACTACGTATTACTCACAAAAAAAGCTCGCAGCATACGGTAAAAAGTATTAAACGAGACAACAAAGAAACCTTTAGCTGTTCTGAATTCGTAACAGTAAAATGCCAACTGAGGTGAGTGAAAAATTGAGCACATTACATGAAACAGAAAGGAAATCCATTTACCTTGCAGAGATCCCAGACCATAGATTTGAGTCTTTCCTGATGCCTTCCTTGCTCAGCAGTTTCATACTTCTGCACCTTCTCTTGAAGAACTTGTACATACTCAATAACCTGTGATTAGAGATAAATTGTTATATATCCTGTAGAATGAACTCATCATCAACAGCAAACGTAGAGAAATTAAAATTTCGGCAGACGTGAGACTCTACAGGTTGGTTTTATAGTCGAGAGAAGTGCACAATTAAGCTGAATAATACATTGTAATGTAGATCAAGGAGGCACAGAAATATCATAATCACCAAATACAAGCATTAAAAGTTAGGAGCGTTCGATATTAATAGCTACAACATGTGTAAGCAAGTCCATTACCTCGAGCAAGAAGGATGCTTTATCTCGCTTCTGATCACTGTGGGGAACTAAGTTTCTCAGCATTTGAAACCTGAAAACAATCGATTCGAAGTAGTTACATACACATCCAGGTGTGCATTTGACATATCCAGCATAAAGGTTTATGAAAAAGAGACGCGATGACGTTTGATTACAACAACACTACCTGTCGTTGATTTTACTACGCCTCCGTTGCTCAGTAGCTGAATGCTTAGACCTTGGGGTGCTACCCCTTATCTCTCCATTCTTCGCTTCCATTCTCTGTACTGGATCCCCTGAGCAAGATAAGGCGCTTCCATGTCAGTCAACAAGTTGATGTGCTTCGACGCACGAAATAAATTGAGATGCAAACCTCATCTTACATCTATGTAACGCAACTTGATTGAAGGTCAGGAAAATAGTCGGTGCTGAATGAGACTACATCTACTAGCAGAATACAAATTTTAGACTAACACGTTTAAGAACTTAAAAGAAGGTTACACAAGAAACGGGAGCTCCTCTCAAGGACTCATCATTCCATTACTCGCTCCTAAGTCCTGTATGAACTGTAAATGTCCAACAAAAGAGAATCCAACCTTTGTATGAAATTGTCTCTTTCCGATTTCCTTTCGGCCACTCCGACAATTCTTCTTCATCATCTTCGTCTTCCTCAGATTGTGATCGGGCGGGCCGTTTGGGTACCTCGATCGTACCCTGTGTCCACTGCCTACAAAGTCCACTTCGAAGACTGCATTTAGGTCCTAGTTGCGGAGAAACATTTCGCCAATACTTCTATTCTCCAACTTCTACTACAGTGTTCGAAGAAAGCTTGAATAAATGCAGTCAGTGTGGACCATGAAACCCTACTTGGTCATAGCTGATATCGATTGATGTCCATTAACAACTGCACTTTTTACTGCTGAGCTACCTGCAGGAAAACCCAAGTCTGATGGCATACGAAATTTTAGCCTGACTCCCGACCAGTATGCGTGGTTCTCTGCACCACAAGAGAGATAAAGCTAAATCAGTACGCAATAAAAACATTAAGAATCGCCTCAGCCCTGTCGAGCAGAAAACTGCATGGAAGAAAATATTTTCTTAACCCCAGAACAAGCTAAGACCTGTTGGTAAGTACAAGAGGAGACATGAAGAACGCGATCTAATCCAAGAAACTTCTTTCTGTTGATGAGTTAACCTCCTCGACTTCTCTCGACTTCGGATCACACATTGGAAAGAGTATATAAACTACACTCACCTCGTGCATTAGCTGTTTCCGGATCCGCCGCCACCTCGACGCCCCTAAAGGACTCGGGGCCGCCACTCTGACCATCGCGAGAGGAGAAGCTCGCTGTGGGGTACCCTCTGGCTTGGCGCATGACCTCCGCCTCATCCACCATGCGAATCGCAGAATTTGGAGCCATAACATATGGAACCTGGATGTTTGGGTAATTAGGTGAGGCTGTGGTAAAGTTTCGTTCAGCAGAGGCGGGAGTAGAATTCCGAGATGTCGTAGTCTCTGCTCTTGCCTGGTGCTCACGCAGAGCCCGAGCGTCACCGGAAGCGGAACGGCCTCCGCTCCTTTCCAATGGTTGTAGAAAATCATGAGTGGTCAATAATGAAGACAATCCTGAGCAAGTACCAAGTAAGGACCTCATCAGATCTTTCGGGAAACCTCAAGCCTTGTGAAATACGCTGTCAAATACATTCTAAGAGAAAATGAAATCTGCGATGGCAAAAGGACGACCATTGCCACGAAATCTAGAACGGAACTTCAGAATATCCACATTTTCCACACTGCGCCTTCCAGGCACTCGTTAAGTGACGTGGAAAATTTAACCGTACCGGAACTTAAATGGTGTTCCGCTAGCTGTGATCCTTTGTCGTAGACAGAAAGAAAGTCGTGCGTAGAAGGTTTGGTATCTGAAAACACGAAGACCACACGGTCAACTCTCCGGAACAACAACTCTCAACATTTTATGCAATGCTTGCATTTCGGTCCTCATCACCAAGTAGAGTAGACTAAAATCCAGAGCAATGTCAACGTTCTTCGTCCCACGCTGAGCAACAACGCAAGAATCCAAAAGCATCGAGCGACAAAATAGCTCAGTTTGATCATTGAGCCTCCTGAGTGAAAACTGAACGCGAGCTGCATTGATTGAAAATCTACAAGGCGTCACTAAGGGCCCAATCATCAAATTGTTCGTCAGTGTTCGTTTGCGAACTATGAATGAATACATACCTTCGTTGAGAGTGAAATGGTGAAGTTGGGACCTTTCGTCCTGCTGATGCGCCATGCTGTGCCTGTTCTGCACTGCGTGAAACTGTCGTTGTTGCTGAGCGGCAAAATCTCCAGGCGCTGTCTCTCTGTACCTGTTGCACCTCAGGGATGAAGGCGACCCTGTACCCCTCTCAGGCCCCAGCTGTTTCTGTCCCGCAGTGGAAACAAACGCCATCTACCTCAGACAACACTACTCTCTTCATCCGGCAGCTGCAAGTAGGTAAACCCCCCCCCCTAAAACCCCAATTTCGTGACAACCTCTTCACAAACACTACCTTTCTTCACACCACCAAACTATCAACAATCGCACCCAATTTTCAACGAAACCATGAATACAAAGTTCTTCACCTACTTTCCACGCTGAGGTTGGTCACACAAATACAACCAATCGAAAATGAAAGCAACTAGCTACAGCTTCGGTGCTGCATAATCTGTCACAAACGTCAGATTTTCTTGAGCATTCTCGAAGCACACCACACCCTTCAGTTGACACGCCCTCGACCTCAAAACTCAACGTTGACCCAGAATCGTTTTTCGTAGACCACCACTCTAGGATCCTATTGAGCCAGCGACCAGTCCTCCTTACACCTCAGTTGCATATCCTCACAAAGAACCCATGCTGGATAGGAAATCAATCCCCCGAGTCCCATTGGGAATTTTGTCAGCATGCGTGTTGGTCCATCACGACGGAGGTAGAACAACTGCACGAAATGCGTTGCAGGGCCCTTCCCTGGTGATGCGTACCTCTGGTGGGGACCCCGGCGATTTCACGTGTCCGTCGTGTCCACAACATGTGCATGCACAGACAACCAGGCGCAATCCCAGGAAAACACACGAAGGGTTGCAACTGCAATACACTTTCTTCCTACTCACTTCCCGCCCTCCTCTCAAGGACGCTCCCGGACACTCTTACTACTACTCCTCCTCCTCCTCCGCCCCACACACCGTCCAGCTCCTCCTCAAACGAATCGTACAATCCAAGCAAGGAGGCAACGAGGCGACAATGTAGGGAGGGAGGGTCGTCTTGCACCACCAGCAAAACAAAAGCCAAACACGACAGACAGACAGACAGACAGACAGTGCAGCATTAGGCGGAGAGACACACACGTGAAGGGTGATTCGACAGAGATGGGGCATGAAGGAAGGAAGCACAGGGCCAGGAACTGACTGACAATCACCCCATGAAGAGGGAAGGGAATGAGGCAGGGAGGGAAATTTGCGAGAGCACAGAGAGAGAGTGATGAGGGTGGGGGTGGGGGCCGTGGGCGCCAGGCCATGGCAGGCAACCATGCGGCGCCCTGATTCGCGGCGGTAGGAGAGAGGGGGGGTCCTTGCTTGCTTGCTTATGCTGCGGCGCCAAGTCTACCGGCCACCCAGCCAGCGCGCCAGCCCCAATCCCCGGGAGGGCATATCATTTCCTTTTCTTGACCCTGCCCGTTCCTTCACTGCCCTCGTGACTTCTTTGCATGTTCGGGGGTGCCCGATTGTTGACCGGGCGCACCTCGGTGGGGGGTATGTACCGGCGAGATTACAGGCCTAGCGATAGTGCAGAGCGTCCACACCCATTGCCCTCCACATCGGGTCCCACAAAAGGGGGAGGTCTGGATTCATTGTGAATGGGATCTCCACCGCTACCCTTCTTCTACATCGCGTTGGACTGTAGGAATACGCTTGTGGGGCTTGTGGATGCTCCAGGAAAGTAATTCAAGTGGATCTCACACAGACTGACATATTTTACTTGTCCATTTAATGAGTTATGGAAAAACCCACCTCACTCTTTCATTTGCATATTTGTTTTGTAAAAACTTATAGAGAAAATTTTCAGCTGAACAGTTATAAAAAAACATTGTGACTTTAATGACTAATTCACAACACCTCTTTTAGCATGTAATCTGTTTTCCATTTATAAACATATGATTTTTCAATTGAGATATTTTTCAATTTTCAATTTTTTTCTTTTCGACCTATTTTTGATTGAGTGCCTATAAAAAAAAATATCGACATTTATCATATACTTCTACAAAAACATTTTTTTCCATTTATTCTTTCATTTTGCCATGATTTACTTACATACATTTTCGTGGACAACTTTCTGCTGTCTCCAAAATAAACACCACATATGTGCAAAAAGAAATTACATGAGTTTCAATTCCGAGAAAGAAGTTGTATTTCCACACAAAAAATCATTGTTATTAACATCTTAAGGACAATTTTATGCATAATTTATGATATGAATTCTGACACACACTTTCTAGTTGGGTTGCACAATCACATCCCCACAAGTGACAACATAGAAAAAAACCACATCAAAACTACATCAATAAGGTTAAAATTGATAACTCTATTTAAAAAATCCATAAAACAAATTCAATACCTTGGTGCTTTTAAATAAACCCATAAAAAAAACACAAAGTTGATATAATGAAAAATATAAGTAAAGGTGCTATTGTAGTTTGTTAAATTGACTTTGGTGTACTATTGGCAATCCCAACTTCGAAAACTTTGACAATGTAATATTTTGTCAACACTGTTTTGAGTAAAAAAGAGTTGATGATTAACAAAGATATAGTACACTATTACAATTTATCATGCATCAGAAATTTATACATATTACCTCTCTCTCTCTCTCTCTCTCTCTCTCCATACATGTATATACCATTGACAGAACGAACTAATTTTCTTTGTTGAAAGGGTTTTCAGTACACTTTGAACTGTTTGGATTGAATGCCAAGGTTCTAAATAATAAGTGGCGTATTTATTTATTTATTTATTTTTTGTTATAAATCATCTATAAATGTTATTTTTTGTTTGCAAGCTTTTGTTTCCAGTTCTCTCTTTTTTTTTTCTTTTTTTTTTCCTTTCTAGAGTGAAAAGTAAAATTACAATTTTATCATGTTCCCCTGTGCATAGATACTATTATTGAAATTCAATTTTGTAAAAATTATTTTTTTACCAATAAACTTCATTGAATTTCACAATTGCATTGTATTCATAAATTTATTTATTTATTTATTTATTTACTTAAGATCAAGCTTGACTTAAAATATAATTACAAAGACCTTGAGACAAAGCTTTTTGAGTAAGTTCCAAAACTTCAAACCAGAGACTCCACTCATCATTTTGACACATCACTTTGAATGTGATGGGGAGTCCAAAGTGTCATAACAAGCTTCATGGGCAAAATGACAAGGGAGTGGCAAAGCATGTGCATGCTTTGACAGATAAGTGCCCTTTCAACATAGTAATTTGAAATGTGATGGCTTTGGGATAGACTTTATTGTGTAGTTGTGGAAATTAAGCCACTTGTGAGAGAAATGCATAGTATGAGATAATGGTGAGCTGTAAGATTAGCATGACATGTTCACCTACCAGTGAATTTATATTTTTTACATTTTTGAGCTTAATTCCTTGTTCACTCATGATGGATCAAATCTTCCTACATGCTGACACCAAAAACATCAAAGAGAAACAAAACCATGATGTGATAAGAAGCACAAAATTATAAGGTATAATCACACTCTAGTAATCAAAATTGGACAGGCTATTAAATGGCTTGGATGTCTACTATGTACAAGAAGCATGTCATAGTTGGCTTTGATGATGGATCCCAAGGATGAAGAAAGAAGGAAATTAGTTGAGGTTGGAGGGTGAATAATTCACACTCAATGAGTTGAATTTGTACATGGCATGACCCATCTTCTTCACAGGCTTCTTCTTCTATGGTTGTTAGGTAGCATGAGCAGTGCCAGCCAATCTGTGAGGTGCATGGCACACCTAGGAGGTGTTTGTTTTTGTTTTTGTATTGTTTTATTCTTAGTTATTAGTTGCTTGTTCATGAGCAAACTCGTGAAGGAATTGCAGCTTTGACAGAATCTTCGTTGTCTAGGTGACCCGCAATACCAACCAACGCTGACTCTCTTCCACAGCTGCAGAGTGCGAGTGCATTTTAATTTTTAATTTTTACAACTTTTTTTGGTATTTTATTGTTTTATTTCTCACGAGAGGCTGCAAAAGGGTCCTGGAGGGCAGGAGGTATGGCGGGCAGTGAGCCAGAGTCCTGAGGCATGCAAGCGGTGAGGGCCAGACAGCGAGTCAATATTAGAAAGCACGCGGCAGTGAGAGTTCGTCAAAGTGCAAGAGTGGGCGCTTGCACGCCACACGGGCAGCGGGAACAGCGGGGAGCAGCAGGAGTTGTGATGGTGATGAATTTGATGATGCTATTGCTGCTGCAAAGGACGTCGCGACGTGGGCGCTGAGGAGGCACGTGGGTAAGAGGACCAGGTCATGCAGCACCCAACCAAATCCACCGCAACTTGACCCTCCTCCGGAATCTGCCCTCGGCACGAACTCCCCTCACAAGCACTCACGCACGCGCACACACCCACACACACGGGATCCGGCTTATCCCATTCAGCGAATCACGTTGGGCAGCATCCCGTCACGAACGCATCCACCTGTAGTAGAGCTCATGCTGCGACTAAGGAAGAGTGCTCTGCTGTTCGCAGGCTGGTCGACGCGTGGCATCCCAGTTCGATCCGCTTGGTTCCGCTTAGTACGAGGTGAGAAGTATTAATGGAACGCGTGGGGGTGTGGTGTGGGCCACGCATTCGCCCAGAAGCTAGCGGAGGAAGCTGTGGGTTGTGATAGGCGAAATGTGGTTCATGCGTGCTTTTGGGTCCACCGTGGGTCATGTGGGGCACTCTGGTCAGCATGGGGTCAGCACGAGAGCCTGGACTGCACAGCGCATTAATCTTACTCACCCCCATTTTTCCTGTAATGGCCGTAGACTCCGGGTGCGTGAGAGGTAAAGAGCTGGACTTGGCTGCTCGAAGATGCCAGCTGCAGGCTCACCCCCCCCCCCCCCAGGTCGAAACATATAGATATACATACACATTTACGAACACACACTTCCTATTCTGTCAGAAGCTTCCTCCGCAGCAATGTCGCGCAATCTTCCTTCCTTCCATGTAAACACATATAGATTGCGAGAGTAAGTACGAGGAGGCATGAGCCAATGAACTGGGGCTCTTCCCTTCCATCTACAATCGGAAACAGGAAATGCCGAAGGATCAGACACACACACACGTTTACACACACATACAAATACTCTTTCCTTCAATCAAATCTGGATTCGATAACGAGGCCCAAGACCTCCCCAACCCCCATTCCCTTCCCTACAGCCGACGAGCCGGATTTCTTTCTGCAGGATCCGAAACTTCTCTCTCCTTTTTATCTTCTTTATCTGTATCTTGTTTGTGTGTCTGTTTTTTTCTTCTATTATTACGCTAAAAGAAAATTCCCATCACGTGTGTCCTGTCCCGTGAGAGGGGGTGCGTCAAGGAAGCTTCGTAGCTGCCTCTCTCCCCTCAGTGTCGCCTTCTGGAGTGATGCCACTCCATAGTCGATGAATACTTTCATTCGTCATCCACGAGTTGTCGCAATGAGAAAACTCGTCGGGAAATCATCCATCCATTCCTTTGGTATTGAGTATATGTGAGTAGAATGAAGGGAATCTGATCACAGAGTTACTGTTCGTAAAATCTATTCAGAATTATTTGGAAATGCGAATTTGACATTTATTTTCACATTCTCGTTAGTTTATTATTTTTCGTAAATTTTGTGAGGGACACGAGGCAGAGAACACGTGGAGTGTGAAATTTGGCAAAATTTCATTTAATTTTCTTTGTATGCTTAAAGTTTTTATCCAAAAGAAGAGTAAATGCTTGCGATGGTTTGTAAACATCTTGGTGCTTTTAATGATGTACATATATAATATATTTGTAGCAATTTTTCAATCTGAGTTCAAATTCTTATATTTAGAGTTTACAATTTATACTTCTATCACTACTGATTTTCTTCTTTATAAAAAGTAACAAAAATGGTAGAAATTATTGTTCCAGCTCCATCAACATGTATCGTGTCCTCCATGAAAATAACCTATAAAATTATATTTCTTTAATAAAAAAATCGTGTTTTATTTACGTGTTTATATATATTTTTTTTAATATAAAAGACATAA